CAAGAGTGTGCAAAGCAGTAATCAGAGCAAAGGGTGGCTATTTTGAAGAAACTAGAATATAAAACATGTTTTCAGTTATTTCACCTTTTTTTGTTAAGTACATAACTCCACATGTGTTCATTCATAGTTTTGATGCCTTCAGCGAGAATCTACAATGTAAATAGTCATGAAAATAAAGAAAACGCATTGAATGAGAAGGTGTGTCCAAACTTTTGGCCTGTACTGTATAAATGACTAAACTTTTGTCAATATGGAGATGCTACACATTGTTAGCTCGCTTAGATTCTCCACACTTCAATCATTCAGTTAATTTTGCTGGAACTACCGTATGAGCACCAGAGAACACTGTAATTCATTGAGACTGGCCTGGTAAACAAGAGAGATGTCTCCCTCTGAAGCAGTCATAAAGTCAGAATGTGTCCATTCTTCAATAACCCTGTAAGTTATTCCTATTCCATCAAAAGAATCAAAAGTGGTTTTAATAAGTATTAATCCAAGTTATAAATATTGTTCTGATAGGATGTAGTGGTGTTGTGTCTGTGTGCTGGATGCTGTAAACCTTGAGTGCCATAAACGAGTCTTGTAACTCTCTCTTTCTGATGTGCTGTCTGTTGGAGCTTGATCAAATGAATGATTCATAATTAATTTGTTATTTGAAGCCTGATATGAAGTAATATTCATACTGGTTTGAATAAACAATTTTATTTCCCATATTCGCTGTTTTTTTGTGAAAGGAATTAAAGGTCTGTCTGATATAGATGCCTGTCCCAGATATAGGCCTGCTGAGTTCATTGATTTAAGTAATTATTAGCCTGGGCTACTAATTGAAGTTCTACGGTATTTCTACAATTATTTTACACATTATTATTGTTACTACACACAGATAATATCATGTATTAATATACATATATCATACAGATACTAATATTAGTCCCATTTTTGTAATTGTCATAGTCATTATTGCCATTGTTGTTGTTGTTGTTGCTGTGTATCTTTCTCTCTGTTGTCATGTAAATTGTCTGTACTGTCAGTTTATGATGTTGGTCTGTTCTGTACCCACAACATCTGCTGCATGTCTATACATCCTGGGAAAGGAAACCTAAGGTTTCGCCCATATTTTTCCCTGTTAAATGTTTTTTTTGGTCTCAGATAATAAGCTTTAATTCTGCTAATTGAATTGAATTGAATTGAATTGACTAAGAGCTGTCAGACACATGCTGTGGACTAAAAGTCAAATATTTGCCTCTGGGATGGTGGTGAAGTAGAAGTATAAAGCTTCATAAAATGTAAATACTCAAGTGTAAGTACCTCAACTTACGTACAGACCTTACTTAGACTCACTTCTACCACTGACTGAAACAGTCATGTTTTATCATGAGAGGGTGTGAGCAGGTGGGTAAAGTCCTGTAAATAATCCAACAAGTGCTTAAACCAAATGACCCCCAGTGACTGTTGAACCTCAAAGTGAAATGAAACTTACTAACCTCGGGGAATATGAGAACGGTCCAGTGTTTCCAAGCATTTTCAGTCTTTGTTGGGAAGAGTTATAACTTCAGACTGGCAAGAAAAATATTTAGAGCCACAGCCACAACCTGTAAGAAAAGATGTTTCTCGTGCTGGTAATCTGAGACGGTACGAGGTGCCAACATTACACCCATTTCACGAGGAAACCAGGACAGATGGCTGCATACACTCACATTAAGGATCTGTTTACCCAGTTGGGATATTCACAGATCCTGACAGCATAAAGCAAGAATACTAACTTATAAAAATAAACTGTTAGGATTTTGCTATGATCATGATTACACTACATTTTACTGTTTACCTTTATCTCCTGATTGTCAAGTGTGGCTGTTATTCAGCAAAAGTTGAATAGCTTTGCTTTAAAACTAAACTTAATTGCTGACAGGAACAACAATAAAGCACTAGGAGGGAAATTCCCATTTGGTAACACACAGTTTTAATCATTTATGGCCAAAATAAACAGATTCTGTAATTATTAAGCTGCGTCTTGAAGACTTCACCTCCTCAGGAGTCAATGGTAGATCAGTGAGGGGTATTTTAAAGCTATGACACAAATTCTACAAACACCTGCTGCCATTAAGCAACAAGATGTAACACATACACATACACACATTACTGCCGAAATTAAATGTCATATACCACCTGGTATAAAAAGGCTGCAAAATGTGTTTCCTGTCTACAAGAGCAAACACATTTCCATGTCTAAACAGGCTGTAATGCCTCCATCAGTCAGGATTTATTTAACCTCCCTTCATTATCACCTCTAATCACATCACCTTTACATAATTTATTCATTACCTGTCAGTGTCGGCTCAGTTTCGTTGTCATCTCTCCCTTCTTTTGAAAAGATTTTCTACCAAGCAGAAAGCAGACTGCCGAGAAAATTTCCTTGACTTCCTGCTCGAAGGCACCAGGATCAAAGTGCAACAATGTGACGGGGAGTGACGGATCAAGAGGCCTGGCCCCGATTTGTCATCTGAGGATCAGTATTTGAAGGTATGGTGAAAGGCAGCATATCCGTGGCTCATTATGAGTCCAAAGGTTTAGAAGTGCTTCAGAGTGATCAAAGGTCTTAAGTGCTCCACAAAATGCTCTTATACAATTATCTAACCCAGGCGTAATCTGCTGTGGCTATAAAAACGGTGACGGTCATAATGTTCCAGATTCACAACTAACGTCACCGACAAACACCTAGGCAAAGGTTAAAACGCTGAAAGAAAGAAAACACTTTTCCTTCAAGTGGAAGAACACAAAAAAGCCAGATGAAGTTGAATAAGAGAATGATTTATTTTACCATCAGCTGACGTGTAAATACTGTACACACCCACAACATGTTGACAGAGACAATCTTTAATGAGGGAATTCTGTAAAGAAAAGTGAACGTCTCGTCTTAGGGCCATGAGTTGGGGACTAGAGAGGTCTTCTCTGAAGACTTGTTTAGGCTGTAGTTTTGGCCTGAGTGACTTTTGCCAGAGCCCTCAGGTCTGTGATGCACTTGGCGATGCTCTCTTTCTCCTGAAAAACAAACACACAGGTAAGAAGCCATTAAATGACACCTCACTGATGTATTTACAAGGGGAGACAGTGTGCAGTTTAAATTATCAAGGTGTAACCTGACTGGCGATACAGAGAAACACCCATGACACAATGTCCAATAAAGCCCCTCCCTACCTCCCTCTCCCCTCCCAATCACAGAGGAGTTGAATCTCATTCAGTCATCCCTCCTGGCTCATTAATGCTGTGTTTACGCTATGAGCGACACAGCAACAGCGAGCCCAGCAACATTACTGCAAAGTGTTGCTCAAGTGCTTGTTGACATAGTGACGTCATCACAGGTTTAAGTGTGTCTGCTACGTGCAACATAGTACCTCGACTTTCATGGATGTCTGAGACCCATTTTTTTACACTACATTTCGCCACCCCACTGCATCCCTGTTTGCCCTGCAGTGCATAGAAAGCTAGCATCAGCTAACTTAGCACCACAGCTAGAAACAAATTCATATGACTGGCTGACGCTTCAGCATCACTGGAGCACTGAAAAAGCCTCCAAAGCGACTAGTGACAGGTATCAGTTCATAGCTTCATGTCATCTCCTTCCTCTGAAAACAACCTTTAGCCTGTTACTGTGCTGCTCATAGTGTGAACACAGCATTACAGTAAAGATAGACATGAAGATAACAAATAAAAAAAAGATTTGTTCATATTGGTTATATAATTAATCTGCAAATGTGCTGGTTCAAAATGAGACCAAACTTTTCGATGGAGTTTTTGAGCCACAATAAAGGCCAAAATGTGGCCTGCAAACGGAGCAGTTTGACTCAAGAGGACTGACCTGCTGAGGAGTGATGCTGCCAATGACACTCTTCTCCACCCAGTTCACCATGTGCTCCTTCTCCATCTGGCGCTGGAGATGCTGCAGGGCGATCTGGTAGTCCAAGCGCCTCTTCACCTCATGGGTCGCCATGTGTAGCCTCTCTCTGTAGTTGGTCTCCAACAGCATGGCCACATTGTTCTGAGAGAAAAAAGGGGAGTCAATGTAGTCCTTGTTATCACACCGGTCTACACTTGGGTTGCTAAAGTTGGCATTTAATGTACTTCTATAGTAATTTTAAGCAGATTAAATTCCTTCTTTACATGACTGTAACATCAGGATGAAATTTAAATGACAAAGAATAGTTTGAAATTTAATTACAATGAGTGAAGACACACAGCTCTCAACGCTGAATCTAATTACTGTTCGAATGTTTCAAATCTCCTGCAATGAAAGCTTGATTGGGTAAAAACAGGTGGCTGAGGGAACTTCTCTATATTATCTGGTGTGTTTGTTTTGTACATGGAGAACAAAACACACTTTTTCAGTGTGAAGGGCACAATAATGCCTCTCCCGTCATGTAACACTGTGGTGACATCGACTACATGGAAGTTTTAATCATCTAATTATTCTTCTTATGGAGCCAAAACTATTTCAAATGTTAAAAATACATTTTATGTCTGAATAATGCTGTTTGTATCACTGTTAAAACAGCCATTATTAAAGGATCGACAAAACACCATCAATTTAACAGGTGATTTCAGACTTTTGAACAGCAGTACCTTTTAATAAAAACATTATTAGGTTTGGCAAGAATGCTATGTGCTCATAAATGCAGTCCGGATTCAGTTCTAAACTGTATACTTTCTAAAAAGACTAAATTTGTAAAGAGAAGAAAATACATCACAATTACCCCTCACTAAGTGCTTATTGAATGTTTGGGATACGGCAGAACCTCAAATCAGCATTCTTCTTTCCTGTTATACTTAGCATAGGTATGTGCTATATATTATGTGCTAGGCTCGTCTGTGTTGAAAAGGAAACCAAATTTTTAAGATGGTTGAAAGATGTGGCTGAGGGACTGTCACAGTCTTTACAGACATTTTACATCATATACAGTCAAGTCTTGAGTTTGCTAATGTTAGCAAAACACTACGTTAAGTATAGCTACATGAACAGGAGTTAGCCTAACATCAGATCAACGTCAGCCAGGTTTTCTTTCTCCTTATGGCTGTGATAATGTTAAATGGATTTGGAGAAGGACAGACAGGTTGGTTGATGACATGTTTTTGAGATTTCATGAATTATTGTAATCTAGCAAAATCAAGGCTAACGTTTCTTTGTGCATATTATCTGTGTAAGGCTACGTGCTGCCCCAAAGTAACGAAACCTTCTTTGGTGAAGAGAGACTAATGTTGGGTCAGCAGCATGATTCAGTAAAAAAATACATGGATAGAGAACTTTTCTGATCCCCAGAAGGAGAAATGGGAAGACATAACTGGCAATGCAGGAGCAATGATGCCTGACAGTTTCCCTTTTTCGTTAAAAACAGGAGCCTCAATTTGTGTTGCCTAGTTCATAAAAGTTAACATTGTGATTGTATCCTTCCAGCACATACTCTAGTTCCTGTCTTCTTCATGAAGCTACATTGCCTGACGCACAGAAACTAACAGTCGCTGCTGCACCAGAACATGTGGAACTGCCATTTCTTTTCATTTATACAGCTGGTTGGTGTGTTGCACAGATCAGTATTAAATTCATTGACCTTTATCTATTTATGGACTCCTGTTTTTCCAAGATCTGTTTTTGTTTCTCTCCTAGTAATGCAGCTCCAGACAGTGATAGCAGCCGCTGCAGGTTCTTTGGCCATCAAGTGATGTAGTTGTAATTTCAATTTGTTGCCAGTAGAGGTCAATAAATGTCAAGGATCACATCATGATGCATGGCAATCAGGGTTTGTTGTGTGAATATGAAGCAGTGCATTATAAAGAAGGAAGAAATTTGAGAAATATCATGGACAAGTCAAAGCTGCTTACCCTCTTAGCATCGAAGAGCATTGACCTTGCCTCTACTCTCCACTGCTCCTTCTTCTCATCCTCAATAGCATCAACCAGGTTGGCGATGGATTCGTCCTTCACCTTCTGAGCCTCGGCCACTTTCTCCTGCAAACACACATACCAATGATCTTTGATTGTTACTTAAAAACAGTACAAAACCTCAACTGCAGTTTGAGAGTATCCACAAAAAAACCCCAACACAAATCCATGCGGTTGCCAGCCTACCTCATTCAATTTGTCAGCATAAGCTGCAACACTTGAGCCATATTTCTTGATACCATAGATGATGACGCTGAGAATGGAGGCGGCTGCAACAGTCTCATGGTTGATGACATAGATTTCCTTGGAAAGCATATAAACGAGGAGTCCAGTGCCGAGCATGTAGGGTCCTTGTGCAAAAAATGAAAAATAAATTAAAATAAAATTATGTTTGTGCAGCAGCTTAATTCTAATGACTTTATTTAAAAATACAGGGAGAAACAAAGCATTTAAAAAGCATAAGCAATAACACTAGGGAATGTAGTCCTACACCACATATGGCTCGGTTTCAGACAATTTGAACATACAGTTCTAATGAAATACTCAGAATTTCACTTTTTGCCTTTTCATAATGGAAATGAAATAATCAAAAGCTGAGTCTTGCTTCTGGCTACTGACCTGTGACTCCAGTTTTGGGGTACAGGAACTGGAAAAGCTCCTCTGGGATGATGCCATGACGGACTTTGCCTCCTGTCTCTGGCAGAGGGGGCACTGGGGCCAGACTCTGGGACGATGTGTGCAGGGAGCGGGATGCCTGGACCACACTGTGAGAGACAACATTATTAATAGTTTTTATTTAGAATATAGGATTTATCTTTTTTTAAAACTGATTTGATGTGATTTTTATTAGGAATTTTAAAAGCACAACAACGCAAAGGACTATCGTGATATAAAATTCCAGAGGACTTTAAGGATTACTACATACACTAATTTCCAAAGTGGTCCTTAGTGAAAAAAGCATACTATACATAAAAATATACACATAACTGCGAACAAGCCAATTAAATTATAGACCTACTCATCTCCCTTGCAACTCCACATCTGTGGTTCAACTCCCCTCCCTCATGGTGAACCATCAATCCTCCCCACAAATTCTCCTTAATTTTTATTCTTAAAAATCCCTTTGTTTGGCTCGGTTTAATATACAGGGAGGGTTTGTTTTTTAGGAATGTCCCAGTAAATGAAAATTGAGCTTCTTGCCATTTTACCAATAATACAAGGTACACTGTACGACATGATGCTTGCTCTTGTGTTGTAATTATGTTGGCTTCCAAACATTTCAATTTGATGGTTCATATATTCTGGAGCCCTCTGTGAAGTCTATCAAACACATGGTTACATTTCAATTGTTTAACTTAATCTTCAACAGGTAATAATGCAACGTGCTTCATTTCTACAGGCCCTCTATATTTGTCCTGGGAGGACCACTGAGAATGTATCTCATAACATTATCCTTAGCTGCCGGCAAACTGTTTTTAAGCTTTTGGGAAAGCCCACTACACCATGCAGTGCAAGCAAAGTCGAAGTGGCATTGATCTAATGTGGTAACTAGGATTTTTTTTGCTTTAATATTAAAAGTATTGTGTGTAACGACATAACAATTTCAGCTTTTTTGCAATTATAGGTAAGACTGTTGACACAATATCCTTCACAGAGATTGACTGTTTATGAGATATAATATTTCCATAACATGTTACTTTAATTGAATTGCTTTTCTTTAGCAATACAATGTATCATCATGTTAGTAACAAAAGAGCACACAAAACAGACACATACCCAGCTCCAAGGGGGCCGCTGCTTTTCAGGCCATTGCCTGCAAAAAGATGAGATGATGACATAAATTCATGGCTACAACCAATGCTTGTTTTTATTCATGTTTTATCTGATGATTATTTACTTTATTGATCAATACCTCCCTAAAACTGTTTCAACAAAAGCTGACCATTATAACCTTCATGAATGTTGGGTTAATTGCAGGACTATGGTATTAACCGAGTGCACTTCACTGTAAAATGACAAATGTAAACAGCAACCCAGCTACAGGTTGAGACAATTACAGTGAGTGATTACAGTATAACATTAACTATGATTAAAAGCTGAACTGATTTGGCTTCAAATACACAACCTAAGGAATCCTTAAATGAAAAAGCACATTTTTGGTGGACTAACAATGTGAAGCCAGTAGAGTTAATCCTTCCTACAAACGTTGGGAGCATAAAACCAACCAATGCTAACTGTCAAAAAGGTGACATTTACAGGCGTGCAGAGCTAACGCTGGCTGAAGTAGCTAGCGGTTTGCTACGGTTACCTATCGTCATCTAACCTGACTGTAGCTAACTGGCAGTGATGTCTGCCAGAAATGCTGCAAATCCTACAAAATCAATAGCATTACCAACAACTGCCAACACAAATACACAAGCAATATAGTTGCTGCAGTTTCAGAGAGTCCACCTGGCTTGTAGTTAGGATAGCTAGCTAAGGCTAGCATTAGCATGTCTCTCATTCAATGTGCGGCCTTCATTTTACCCTTCAGCTTCACATTCAATTTAAACTTTTGTTTAGCCTGCTTCACAGTCTGGTTATGCCAGTTAAATACATTTAATTAATTAATAAAAGCAAGATTAGTGCATACCCGAAATAATGAGGAGCCTGGACAGCATATTTGAAGGATGAAGTGCCAAGTTCTTGCTACACCGGGCACTCTTGTTTCGGCCTCTTCGTGCCCTTCTGCAGAGAGTCACAAGGATGCCGGAAACACGAGATATCACCTGGAAACATCGCGAGAGTACATTAGAGCTCCTATTTTTAATCTTTTTAAAGAAAATACCGCTGGATGACGTTGTTCTCAATGTTATAATTTGTCACTGCCTTGACATTGAATTTAATGGTGGGAATATTAAAAATATAAAGCATAAAAATAAATTAATCTTTTATGACGGCGGAGTCCAAATAAACATTTTGTTGATATCACAATTAAGTTTTAAGAATTGTTAAAAAGTTTAAGACAGATGTTTTGTTAAATGGCATCAACATAAATTATAAAAGTAAGGAACATTTTTTTAGATGATACACTGCCCTGCAACGAGTAGTCACTTTGAAAACATTTTTTGAAATTAATCTGGACTTCCTATAACAAATATGTTGATAACAATAAGGTTATTGAAGGGTATTTTAACATTATATATTAAAAACATAAAGAAATGATATTTTTTGAATCATGTGTGGCACAGAAACAATTATACATTTATTTTATAAATGTATGTATGCAAAATTCTTCTTGAGTAATGTTAGATGTGTTTTTTGACATATTATGTGGAACTACTGTAAGATTAATATACAGAAACATGATGTTATTCTTTAATGTGGAAAAGATGATCTGGGCAGAGGTCATGTCTTTATTTTGAATCTCCTCATTTCATATGGTAAGTTTTTCATCCATAAATGCAAATAGCGTAAAGGGATACCTAATATCCACCACATCAAACATGTGCTGAAGCTGTACTGTTAAACACTTAAAAAACTGACAAATCAGGAGGCTGTCACTATGCTATACTATGCTAGGATCCAGTGTCTTGGGTTAATTCATCTTGAAAGTACACATGACATTGATAAAAAACTGACAGCAAGTAAAATAACAAGTCAGCCAGCTTAATGCAAATAACACACACACACACACACACACACACACACACCACCACCACCACCACCACCACCACCAGCAAATATGAGGCTGATGTCATTTACAGCTTCAACAGACTGAAGCCATACATTTTCTATGAAAAATGAAACTGCTCTTATAAAAAAAATAAATTTCCAACCACACACACTGCATAGCTCTCTCTCCTGTGTAGTGTATTATATTCCACGCTGCATGCAGGGGGAATTGTGTGTGTGTGTGTGTGTGTGTAATCTTGGGGCCCACCCGTGTATGGCATCAGCTTGATGCGAGTGGCTGGTGAGATAGAGGAACATATGACGCTGTGGTTCTCTTCACTTCCTGTAAAATTATGCTCAACAGAAACAGCTACATGTGAAACACAGACAAAAAACCCGGGACACTATTTCAGTAGAGTGAGAAAATGGATGACTTCTAAAACACCTCACAAGGACTATACCCCCACTGAATGAGATGGCGTTGTAGGTAAGCCGTGTAATAGTTTTCTGCTTATCAAGCAACATTTTGTCTTTGCATTATCTTGTACATTTTCCCTCCACAACCTCAATCAACACTTGCCAGGGCCGAGCCTGTCTCTGATAACTCTGTCACCATGTGTTAAAGGATCTTTCTGACAAAATATAATGCAACTACTGCAACATATACTATTACATTTACCATCACTACTACAAAAGTGCTTCTGTATGAGCTTCTACTACTACTACTGTAACCGCTTCTACTACAACTGACCTGCATGGTTCCCAAAGTAAATGCCTTTTCTCTATTGTAAGAGATAATGTGAAGGCTTTGCATTTTGAATTTATTTTTTGCATACTACTCTAAATGTGTAACTTTTGTTTCAACATTTGGGAGCACACATAAGAAATGGGGATTTGGGGGTCCTTGAGCACTTGCATTCCTGCTTTCTGCTAATTTTCATGCACCAGTTTGTGCATTTTCTTCACCAATCAATGGTGTAAATGTCTTTAATATGAACGAAATAAAAGTCCTCTGCTACCTTCATGCTTTTAGTTGGGGGTGGGTGTTCCCTGCATCCCCCCGACAATCTACGCCTATGCTGCTCACATACTTTTGGAGCACAACCACTAACTTTCTTTCTTTTCCTTTGTTTAAGCATGTTAGAGTCTTGTGAGGACAGTGTTTGAGGATCATATTTAAAACTCAGTTACTGTGTCTATGAAATATGAAAACTGAAATGTATACAGTCTTTCTTTGTAATCACAGCCATCATTTTGCACATGCAACACTTAAAAACCACATTTTTCAGCTGACTAACATTTTATACACATTAGTAAATTGTGTGATTTCAACTCAACTGTTTTCATACTGTTTATTTCATCATTATTAATAGTTATAATTCATTTCCTGATACGTTGTTGTTGTAGGCTCGAGGCACTGTAACAGCCAGAGGAGCTGCCATGGACGCCCTGGCTGTCAGTGGACTACAGCTCTCCCCAGTGAAACCCTTTGACCAAATAGTGGAAATCAGAGCAGAGAAACGTGAGCACCTGCGAGGACGTAACAACGTGACTTCGTGCCGCAGCCCTACGAGAGACTTTGACACAAGACAAATAAAGAATGAACTGAAGGAAAAGAGGCATCTTGAATTTCTGAGAAGGAGATCAGTGAGCCCAGAGCTGTGTGGTTTGAATACTACAAACTATTCTTCCAGGAGAAAACTTTCACCAAGGACTTTTTCAGTAAAACACCACAGGTCAATCAGCAAGTCAGAGACAATGCATACAAATATCCAATATACTCCCACATCTAATGGGAGACATCCAAAGGTGACATTAACACCAAGAGGCAGCATGGCTGACGGCCCAAGCACCAGCAACTGGGTAAATATCCTTTGCGGTTGTAAGAAGGAACACCACTACAGGGGTTATTAGGAGTTTGATTTCACCAAATACATGTTTCATCTTTCCACATCCACACACCTGAATCTTATTCTCTCTCCTCACATCCTCAGGCTTTATTATGGTCAGAACAGGTCACAGTAATGAGGCCGGAGAAAGGTCATGCAAAGAAGCAAGCATCTACCTCCGCACCAGCGATAAAGGAATCAAACCAGCAGCGGACAAAAAGCATGGATAAAAGAGAGAATAGTATTAATGGTAAAATTACTGCCTAGCTGCATAACATTTTGACCCAAGATTTTCAAACATTTTTTCATACTAATAATGCTGTTTTATTAACTTCCTCTAAAAGCTCAAAAGACAAGCATCAAAACAGTCATCCCAGCAGAAAGGATTCAACAAAGGTTCTCCGTCCAAACTGAAAGTATTCCCAAAAAAAAGGTGCTGCATGAGACCAGTGCGCAGACAGAGTGAGTTGAATTTATATCTCAAATTTAAAATCAGAGGCAGCTGAGATCAGTGTTTTATAAATATTTCTATAATGAGATATTTTCTTTTGTGCAGGTCTGGTTTTGTCATTGTCAAGGAGTCGGTACGTTTAAAACTCTTGCTTTGTTTACTGTTGATGTTTTTTGTTTTTTTTTATTAAATTGCATATTGGAAAAATTGTTTTTGATAAAATGTGACTGTTTTTGATGTCTCTTATCTCTCACATCATAGGATCTTCAGCGATTAACTGACTACTTACAGGTAAACCAACCATTATATTCCCAAGTCAAATTTGTAAAGTATTGTTTGACCTGTCACTTTTAACAAATGAAATAATGTGTCCTTCCTCTAACAAATGAAAAGTGAGGAAATAAAATGCATCCTTTCTCAGTCACACACACTCAAAGGTTTTATTTATACAGCCTTACTTGGTCTTGTATGATTAATAGCTTACGGTGGCTAGTAATGTTAGCAAATGTTAGCTACATTTTGATGTGTAACTGACATTACTAAAAAATAGTTTGTGAATTTTTTCTACTTGTGCTACTGTTACCCTACATTTAACATTATCAAATAGTTGTCATGTGAGACTATGTCAAAGTTCTATAGCTGTGCTTTGCTTTGGAGCTGAGTTACTCTATGACTTGTAACAGCAGCTTACTGTGGCTTATGTTTGCTAATGTTAGCTAGATGTAGCAGTGCAACTGACATTAACGTTACTGAAATAATTTTGTGACTTTTCTCTGGTCTTCTCGTGCTGTTACTCCACATTTTGCCATTTACCATGATAAATTGTGGCGTCAGTGGCTATGAATAGCAAAAGTTAGATAGTTTTAATTTGTATGATCTGAGGCAACTGTATGACCTGTAGCCTATAACGTTAGTGGCTGGTATTAGTAAACATTAGCTTGATTTAACTGTGTAACGACATTACTGCAATATGTTTTACTCCTCTCTACCTGTGCTGTTGTTCTGTTACACTGCATTTTAGCATTTAGCATTATCATGTAATTGTCACTTGTGGTTACAAATGATGTTAATGATAAAAAAGTTTTGCCTTGTTTATGTAATTTCAAGCTTGGTGGCTAATGATGTATGCTAAAGTTGGTTAGATTTAGCTGTGTAACGTTAACTGACATTACGGAAATAAGTTTGTGACTTTTCTCTAACCTTCTTAGGCTGTTACACTGCATTTCACCATTTTCCATTGTCCAAGTGATTGTCACTTGTGGCTACAGAGGCTGTTAATAAGCAAAAGATACAATGGTTTTACTTTGTTTATATGATCTGAAGCTACTGTGTGACCTTAGCTTATGGTGGCTGATGTTAGTAAACGTTAGCTTGATTTAGCTGCGTAACGACATTACTGCAATACGTTTTCTCTACTCGTGCTGTTATGCTGTTACACTGCATTTTAACATTTAGTCTTATCAAATAATTGTCACTTGTGGCTATAAAGGCTGTTAATGAGGAAAATAGTTTTGCCTTGTTTATGTGATTTGAAGCTTGGTGGCTAATAGTAAGCTGAAGTTGATTAGATTTAGCTGTGTAACTGACAATACTAAAATAATTTGTGACTTTCTCTAGCCGTCTTGTGCTGTTACACTACATTTTACCATTTACCATCATAATCTGAAGCTATGTAGCGCTGGGTGGCTAATGTTAGCAGACGTTAGCTAAATTTGTAGCTGTGTAACTGACATGACTGGAATAAGTTTGTGACTTTTTCTCCATTGATGTTGTTACACTACATTTTACCATTCACCATTATCTCATAATTGTCTCTTGTAGCTACAGTGGATAGTTTTGCCTTTTTTATGTGATTTGAAGCTTGGTGGCTAACAATGTAACCTAAAGATTTAGCCATGTAAATTACATTACTAAAATGAGTTTCTGACTTTTAGTAAGCCTTTTGCTGTTACACTACATTTTACCATTTACCGTCATAATTGTCACTTGTGGCTACAGTGGCTGTGAAAAAGCAAATATAAAATTACATTATCTGAAGCTCCTGTATGACCTGTAGCAATATGGTGGCTAATGTTAGTAGACGTTAGCTAGATTTGTAGCTGTATAACTGACATGACTGGAATCAGTTTGTGACTTTTTTCTAATGCTGTTACACTACATTTTACATTTGCCGTGACCCAATAATTGTCATGGGTGGCTACCGTGGCTTTTAATAGGCAAAATAGTTTTGCCTTGTTTATGTGATTTGAAGCTTGGTGGCTAATAATGTTAGTAATATTGCTAGATTTAGCTGTGTACTTGACATAACTGAAATAAGTTTGTGGGTTTTCTCTAGTCTTCCTGTGCTGTGAAGCTACTGTATGGCTTGTAGCTTATGGTGGCTAATGTTAGCTCGATTTGTAGCTGTGTAACAGACCTGACTGTTTGTGACTTTATGGCTCTTCTGTACTTTGTTTATATGCTCTACAGCTACTGTAAGCCATAAATACAATACTACAGTTTTTATTGTCACCAAGTACAGTAGATGATAAATGATGTGGTGAGCATCATTTATTATAAATATCTGGTTAGCTACACTCAGTAGTTGCATGCTGTTGTAGCCACTAAAGTAAATGACATGGTTGTAGCTCACTCTGTCTTCTGCTGTGTTTTGTGCCAGGAGGCCCTGTGGAGAGAGGAGGCTGTGAAGGAGAAGCTGGCAGCCCTCCAGGAGCACACATCAAACCTCATGAACTCCTCAAACAAGATGTGGATGGTGAGACTCTCCATCTGTATGCGCAGGCCATTTACTAACATCAAACACACCCCCAGTGTTTCACATTGACAATATCCAAATACCAAACACATATATCTTGTTTTATAAGGTCATGTTGTTTTTGTTTTTGTTTTTTTTGGTTCCCTGGTTGATGTTACACTAAAAATGTATTTGTCACAGTCGTGCACACAGCAGTGTATGGCGGCTGCTTCCTCAGGAAGGCCTATGCAGTCTGTGGTTTGGAGCTTCCTGCTTCCGCTGTAGCCTACACTGCACAGGACGAATGAAAGCTGTCATTCTTACACAGGAAGGGCGTGACAGTCAGCAGCTGTTATAGGTGCTATGCATCCTCATTAGCTCTCTTTTGGTTACTCTGGCTCTAATGAATGAAGGGAAATATTGGTGTTCCCCTTTTATTGTTTTTCAATTTGAATTTGAGCAGCTGAGGATTTAGAGTAGTTTAAATAATTTATGCTTTTTCATTCTCAGTCAGGTATGTTATCATCAGGCAACTTATGTGTTATTTTCCACACTAATGACAGTGTAATGCTAAAACACGTGCAGTCATTGTGATCTTTCTTGAGGCTCACTGATGCTGCAAGTTCCCTTTGTGCACCAGTGAGTGCAGACAGTGAAAGAACATACTGTGACAGATTTTGGTTGATGAACCATTAATTTTCCATCTGCAGGCAGCGTGACAGTCAGTCATTTCCTTTCTAACCCACACAGGCTCGTTGCAGTGAAGACCTGCTGAGAAACAAGATCAAGTCTCTGGAGGTGCAGCTGCAAGTCTGCCTGCAGGTAAGAACAGCAGCTGGTGGTAAAAACAGCAACTGCTGGGTATTTTTAATCTTTCTTTTTTACATTATATCTTTGCGATAACTCAAACCTGTTGTCTTTCCGAAAAGCAGCAAATCTGCTCTACACTTTCACTGTGTCATGCAGTGATAGCATCTAATGAGCGCGGCTCTATGGCTTTGGTTTGCATCTCATCCTGTGAGTGTTTGTAGGTTTATCTCAGCAGCGTTGTGTCCTTATAGAAGCTGCCCAAGGATGGAGTGAAGAAACTGGTGATACAGATGGAGAAGCAGAAACTGCTGTATGAGGAGAGGGCCCTGGTCGCCTTGCAGAAGATCACACAGGAGAAATCTGAGGCGCTTAGCAAGGCTGAGACAATGCAGGTCAAATATCTATTTTTTTCATATAAACAACCACAGTGTACCTATTTGACTTTGGGGAGAGACACATCAATGTCACTGACTTATTTGGGGTTTCTGGTGACAGGTGTTGCTGTTGATATATCAAGAAGTCAGGTTCAGTACATAAATCTCAAAGATATTTTGTATTTTTGCCAGCAGGAAGCGCTAATTACAGCAAAGGCAGAGGCCCGGAGGTGGCAGAGTCTTTATGAGGAGCTGAAGCTGAGCTCTGCACAACTAAAGGAGAACCAGCACCTCAGTAATGAGCAGCTGCAACAGCTGCACAGCCAAGTGGAGGTAAGGCAGTCTGTGACAATGTGGATGGCCATACATTTTTTAATGTAAATGGATGTGAGAAACATGTGTGTCCTGAGCAGCTGTCCAGAGCCAGAGAGGCCGCGCTGAGGGATGAGGTGGTGTCATTGAGACAAGAGAGGCAGGAGCTGCAGTACAACATTTGCCTTCTGGAAGAGGACAACCAGATTTTAAGGGAGGAAATCCAGCACATTACAGGCAAGACAGTTAGAGTCATGTTTTTATACTGAGTACTCTTCGTAATGTTTAAAATACTGCAGATGGATGATTTATTTAAACTGCTTTCTATTTCCTAGATGGCAGCAATGAGAGCCAGGACTTCCTGATGCAGGGGCTTCTGACGTCAGAGGAGGCAGAGCCACGACTGACGGTGAGGAGAGACTCTCAGGTGGAGGAGCAGCTCCGTCACACTCAGGAGAAACTGCAACTCAAAGAGAGAGAGGTGAGGTGGAGATGTCACAGTGTATTGATGCATATTCACACGCTTTGTGTTTTGTTTAACTTGACATTAGATATTCATGAATTCACACTGGATGAATCAAAGATAATTTTCCACTCATTTACAGTGATATGCAAAGACTGATGCAGGCCATTGAGAAAAATCTAATCTTAAATAAACTCAGGTTTCACTGACTGAGTATCAAATCTATTAAATATATTTACGAAGACGCATTTCATATTATTGCCCTCATTTCTGGGAGACATTTTAAAACTAAAGGCACATTTTGCCATGATTGGCTTTACATACAGCTTTCTAACAATCACTTACAATGTAAATGATATGATCTACATACGTGTCCCTTCCATATGGCTTGTGTGTGTGTGTGTGTGTGTGTGTGTGTGCGCGTGTGCGTGCAGTGTGAGGAGCTGCAGACAGAGCTGCAGGCCATGGAGCAGGAGTGTAAGTCCAGCCAGGCCCGGCTGTCGCAGTGCAGGGACGAGCTCCGGCAACTCAGTCACCGCCGCAGGAGATCGGTGAGCAGTGTGTGTGTGTGTGTGTGTGTGTGTGTGTGTGTGTGTGTGTGTGTGTGTGTGTGTGTGTGTGTGTGTGTGCATTCAGGAGAATTTGAAACTAAATGTCCTTGCTATGTCATTTGCCCTTACATTGTCATTGTCACATTTTCTGTACCAATTTATTTTGCCTCATTTTTGCTGCAGTGACTAAAAACAACTCAAACACAACATCAGCAGTAACGATTCCCCGCTCATACGTACATTTCTATATATAATGTGTATGTTACTATATTTAACTGTGACATTTCTTTCCTCTTTGTGTAGACACGATGTGGCTCCTGGTGGAAGGTGTGTGTGTTTTTCCTTCTTCTTCTCGCTGTGGCAGGGGTTGCCATGTTGTGGCTGTGGCATCCTCCTTTCAGGGAGCAAGTTGAAGACCTGTACTCAGACATAGAGAGACGTATCGAAGATTATCTCATGGACATGGCCTCTCCTCAACACTCAGGCTGTTTTAGACCGATATGATGATGTCACTGCTCAGGAACATTGTTTTTGTTGTTGTGTTATTTTTAAAATATGACTTTTTTTCTAGGATGTAGTTAATATAGTTTAATTTCATGTAATTTTAGACTTGGAACTCAACGTGTGTGTGTGTTTGTGTGTGTGAAAGTGTTGTGGTGATGTGTGTAGGGAGTTTGCAGAAAGTTCAGATACAAGAGACCACTTCCAGAGTGATAAATGTTTGCAAATGAAAAGTACTATCACAAGTTGGCTGATATAAATGACGTTTTAAGAAACTGTGAGTCAATGATAATAATAGTCAGGAGAAGAAAAACAGGAAGTATCCTCTGTACTGTAAACAGCTTATTTAATGGGAAGCACCACCATGAATTGTTAAAAAGCCATATAAAACACAAAAAGACAACACATTATTCTCTCAGCTGCCAACTTCAATAAAAGAATGTGGGAAGAGAAAAAACTCAATAAAAGAGCCATTAGAGTTTTATATTGTACGAAATAAAGAAACATTGTTAGTATAACAAATGTCACTGTTTGTTGAATTGTTTTGAAAAACATTTTAGTCTTGATGATACCGATTTGAAATTGAATAAAGTCAGTTGTTGGAGTACTGAGTTTGTGGTGCTTTGGCTTCATGCAAGATATCTGATATCTCCATGGCGAAGACTTTGGGAAGAAGGACCACGCTTTGGTGAAGAGTTATATCCTGTTACATCTTAAACAAATCATCCACCAGCCAACATTTATTCCCCTTTGGGTAAGATCTCATCCTACAACTAAAAATTCACATGCACCACTGGACTCATCCACACGTGTTCTCTAAAATCTGCAAGACTCTATTTCCCTTCCATATCAATATATTGTAATTAAATATAGTGAAAACAATTAACATTTGAGTAGTCAAGTATTTGAAGATGTCAGTCCTGATCCTTTACTTGAGTAAAAGCAGCTCTGAAAATTGCTGGAAATGTTTGAGTTCTACGGGTATGTTTCTACACCTCATGTGGGACAGTCAGCTGGTTTCTTCATTTGGACACAAGTGGTTGGAGCAGTTGAGGAATAGTTGGATCAGCTCTTGTTGAGCACGCCACATTTTTGCCCTCTTAGAGACAAATCAGTTCTACCAGCTGGACTTACAAAGGCACAGTTTGGGTCATGTCCTGCAGGCTTCCTCAATGCTGCCAGGATCACACTAAGGAACTGGAAAAATACAAACTCATGACTGTTATAGTCTCATATGAGTTAATGCTGGCAAAATTGAAAGATTCAGGGGTGACATTCACTGAAATGTGGGCTCAGATTATTAATGGTGGGATTATTAAGAGGCAATATTTAACAGAAAGCCTAATAGGCGCAACACAGTTTGTGGTGGTTTTGACTCTTTTTATTGTTGTTTTGTCTCTTTGAAGTCATTTTGAGTCTCTTTATGGTCATTTTGAGTCTCTTCCAGGTTGGTACATGTTAACTTGATTTTTCAGTGGGGGCCCTGATAATTTGGACTCCTGGGCTTGTGTCCGGTAGGCCCGTTTGTTAATCCATCCATGGCAGCTGGTTGAGCCGGAACAAATTTGAACTACTATACTGTTGGGTAGTTTAATCCACAATGATGCAACATATTTTCACAGTTCACCATGTGTGTTATGTAAAAATACCAAAGTAACTACAGCTGTAAAATAAATGCAGTGATGTACAATATTTGCATCTGAAATGTACAAAAGTGGAGGTAGCAAGGAGCCAAAAAATGGAAATACTCAAGTACGTACATCAAAATTAGTGCAGTGCTTGAATAAATGTACTTCACTGCAGTACATTTAACCGGTACATAAAATGTTTCTGTTATTGCATTTTAACAAGATAAGCTTTTGTCAAGTGTTCATTCATTCATTTTCCGTAAGCACTTATCCTGTTGGGGGTTGCGGGGGGAGCCTATCCCAGCTGACACTGGGCAAGAGGCGGAATACACGCTGGACAGGTTGCCAGACTATCGCAGACAGGGGTGTCCAGACTTTTTTGAATGGGGGCCAGATGAGATAATGTGAAAATACCTGAAGAGCCAGCTGCCTCTTGCATCATAGGGGTTATCTGTTTGATCTTTACGTGTAAAAGTCCTCAACTTTCCACTGCTCTTGAAAGTGGTGGCCCTCACTGTCCAATTAATATTTCTTTGCTGTGGCCATGTCTGCTAGCAGGAAATATCTGCTGTTAGGAAACCATTTATTTACCATTTACCGTCTGTTTGTGAAAACCCATTAGTTCCACCTGCGTAGTTCCTACTTGATGTATGTCTACAAACTGTATAATATCCCTGCATCGTGAGGTGAATGAACAAAAAGCAAAGTGAGCTTGCTTGACTAACCAAGGCCATACATAGTGTATTTTGAACTACGAACTGGGGGCCGCGGGCCACAATTGGCCCTTGGGCTGGACTCTGGACATGCCTGAAGTGAGCTGTATCATTGATGTTCATAGCCACATGCTGTGTGTGAGTCAGTGCGAAAGAGAAATGCAGTGGTTAAGCAAAGATCATCATCTCAGAGGGTATATACAGTACATGATAACACAGTAACACCTGTGCTGAGTTACCGTAAAGCCTGCTGTTTGACAAGTCCTGCAAGGAGAGGACAAAACAGCCCACACTGAAAATGGCTCCATGAGAGGAGCCAGTATGGATAGCCAGATGCTGGATGTGATACTACAGGAGTACCTGAATCACTATGGTGATAGTATTTGTGGCACCACCATTGAAAATACTCTCTCAGCTCAAAAACAAAGTCTTATTGGAATGAATTATTTTACTATGAGCAGCAGAAGGTATCACTGAAGACACTGATATTTGATGTTTACATGCTTTTTAAAATGTAGGAGCTCTCAGGTTAAATACTCCTATCATCTCTGGATTTAAGTGACGTAAAATAATTGTTTTTGTCAATCGAGTCTGTATACCACAGGCACACTGTGGTTGTAGCAGAAGTAGTAGTGAAGGCTGTAGTAGTTGTGTTGACATGTGTGAGAGCCTTCCGCATCACAGTTAGCACCGCACCAGTGTTCAGCATTAACGGTGTCAGTGATGTGATGGCACTGTGTGGTAACTACCAGCTGTGCTAAAATGACAGAACGATATGTTGTAAATTCTACACAAATGTTCATGAAACTGACAGACATGACTCATGGCACCGTCTATTGTCTGATAACACTCAAACTCAGAGACAAAAACACACCATTGTTCATTGTATTCAGTGGTTTTAACTGTTCCAGATAAAGCTCCATTCTCAACAGGCACTGACACAGCACATCCACCGCGTAGATCTTTCAATCACATTTACCTGCATGTTCCCCAAATACACCGCAGCTCATTGAAGAGATGCATCTTTGCTGGACTGGAGGTCAGTCTCCTGGTGAAACTGGCACTGACGGTAAGAGGCTGTAAAGTGTAGGTGCAGATGAGTGAGGAGGTTTTTGTAACATGTTTCACAACATGGCTGAGAGGATCTTGCTAAACTCTGTTTTACTTACAGAGTGGTATTCTTCTGCAAGATGAGGGCTGCAGTTCTGCTGTTTGTTGCGGGGTTGTGCGTGTTGAACGTCACATCTTCGCTGAAAATCTGCGCTTTTAATGTTCAGAGCTTCGGTGAATCGAAGGCAAACAACAAGAAGGTTATGGGGATTCTACTACAGGTACTTTTCTGTATGTGTACAACAATTATAGAGCAACATCCACATGAGACTAAACAGCTGATGGATCTTTGTCTTTTCTTTTGCTCCCAAGATTCTGTCTCGGTGTGACTTGTGTCTTATTCAAGAGGTCCGAGACTCTAAAGGAGCAGCAATACAAGCTTTGGTTAAGGATCTTAACAGGTACAAACTTTCTTTGGTTCCAAAACTGCTAATTTCAAAGATCAGGTGAAGCCTCTGTCACATCTTCAACTAATTTATGGTGTTGTCAGCAGATTTGACAAATCCAACTCATACTCCTATGTGGAAAGTGAAAGGCTGGGGAGGAAGACCTACAAGGAGCAGTATGTCTACATTTACAGGTAACATATATAAAACATGACCCATTGCTGTTAACGGTCAGTTTAACATCCTAACGTCATCTTTTTTCTCACTCATGTTCTCCAGGAACAATGTGCTGACGGTCAAAGAGCAATATCAGTATCCTAAACTGGAAGGAGAAGGGACCAATGAAACGGATGTTTTTTCCAGAGAGCCTTTCATCGTTCGCTTTCACTCCCCTACAACATGTACGGTGAACCAAAAGGCATCTTTGGGATCATACAAGAAAATAAACTGCACATTAGCACACACTACAGTTATGATCTGGGGCCAGTTTCACCAAGACAGACTTTCTTCCCCTGGTTTTAAGATACCTGGATGCTATGTGGCTCATTCTCAGTCACAACTGATGGTCAGATGAAAGCTAAATTGAGCAGAATGATAAATGCAGCAGAGTTTAGGCAGCCAGAAACCAAGCTGGGTTCATCCTTGACAGATTTCCTGGACTGTGAGGAATAAAAGAGACACCTGCACTTGTGCAGACCATTAGGGACCTGGATAATATTATAATTATGTATACACAGTGGTGGGACGAGTATTCAGATTTTTACTTAAGCATAAGTAGCAATACCAATGTGTAAAAATACTCTGTTACAAGCCAAAGTCCTGCATTCAACTTTTTCCTTAAGTAAAAGTGTAAAAGATTGAACATCAAACTATATTTAAAGGTCTACAAGTAAATGAGAGTAAATGTACCTAGTTACAGTCCATCACTGTGGGTGCAGGGATATCTATAATAAGGTTTCTATATGTTCCATGTAAACACCGTATCCCAGTTATGACCACAACCTGGAAAAGACTTAAGTCTGTATCATTGAAGATGTGTTATATGTGTTTTTTGTTTGTTTGCAGTGGTGAAGGACTTTGTCCTGATTGGACAACACACCTGTCCCAGAAATGCCATGAAGGAGATTGATGAACTGTACACGGTCTTCAAAGGAATTTACAAGAAGTGGAGGACTGATGTAGGTTAAACATCATCATCATCATCGCCGTCATTTAAATATTTATTATTATTTTATTTATTATGTATTTTGTTTTATTTTTCTAATCTATGTCGGTCAGTTTTAGCCTCATATTGGTTTCTCTCTTCCACATATGACCACACATATGAGTGATTTTAATCTCTTGAACTTGAACCTTTTTTTGCTTCCTTTCATTCACCTAGAATGTGATGATCTTAGGGGACCTCAACGCCGGCTGCAACTACATCACCATCAAGGGCTGGAGAGCTGTGCGTTTGAGGAGTGACCCCAAATTTCGCTGGCTAATTGGAGATGAGCAGGACACTACTGTCCGTGAGAAGACACACTGTGCCTATGACAGGTCAGTGACGTAGTGCTCAACAATTACTTTGTGTGTCTGATTATTTTAAGGGCAGGGTAATGCCTTAAAATGTGGTTGTTACATGTTCAAACAGGATCATTGTCCATGGACGTGAGATAATCTCCAGTATAGTGCCAGATTCAGCTCAACCATTCAACTTTAAAGAGAGCTTCCATCTCACAGAGGAAGAGGTAAAGGTGTTAAAAAATAAACTTTCTTTAACTTGGTTAT